TCTAGCTCTCCTGTCAACAATCAATTTACATGTTAATGTCTGACAAAATTCTGGCAGGGGCAACATAAGATCATTTCTAATTTTTATGAATCATACACACACACACACACACACACAAAAGAAAAAAAAAAAAAAACCAGAAACTAATTATTGGGTGGGAAGCATGACCTTAATAAAGGTACTTGGTGATAAGTGCTCATTTAAAATCTGAATTTTAATATTGCTGTAAAAATAAAAGGGCCACAGGGAACAGTGTTGTGACAAAAATTTCAGATGGCACAAAAATTAGGCTAAAAACACAAGCAACTTGTTCTGCCTTGGTCTGAACTTCCTTCATGCCCACCTGAAACTGCTTTTAGGTAGTCTCACTATCCACGAAGGATTCTATTGTCCCCACTCCAACTATCCATGGTTCCCAGCACCACTGGGAAGAGGTGCTTTTCCTCTTCTTCACTGATGACCTGCTCTTATAGTTGTGAATGTGGACTGGACTCAATATATACCTGGCCCTGCTCACTCTATTTCACAATAAACAGCTCAGTACTTGATAGTAAAAAGCTAAAAATATTGTTGGTATTTTCAATTGGTTTATATCTAACAATAGAATACCGCAGAATAATCCATTTACTCACTAAGGGAAAATTTTATAACTAAGTCCTGCTGGAAAAGTCAGCTATTGGCTATGGCACTCAAACATAGATATTCTATTTTATCTGGATGTATGTGGGTAAATGTTGGGCAACTGATGCAATCTAAGTAACCAAATGACACTTCCAAATGACTCCAAGAACAAGAGAGTGGGCCATGTGTGTAAGATGGTGGGGGCTCTTTTGACAAAATGGGGAACATGAGTCCTTCTAAGACCAGAAGCCAGTGGGCTGCCAGCTGACTGTGGACAGATCATCTGCCTGTGGGTCAGAGCAGGTGTAGAGGCAGTTCTTAAAGGGGGGGGGAGGGGTAGGAATGCTCCAGCATTGTTTTAAAGGCACACTTCAAGGTGACGATTCTGATAGCTTCAAAATGTGGCCCCCACCCTCGCCAAAAAGGAACTAATCATATTGCCTGTTCCCTTGGTTTCTAAACAACAGGATTCTCATTTAACCAGCACCTCACTAGTCCTAGTTTTGGCCCCCATCAGAGGAAGCTGTCAGAGCTGTCATGATCTGGTTTATAATTCTTCCCTCCCCTCCACCAAAACAAAACCAAACTGACTGCAAAGAGAAGCGACATTTATGAGGGCTGTTCTCTCCCCCTATTTTTCAAGGCAAGTGTTGTCAAAACTCAGGAGTGCTCTGGCTGTGTGTGAATATTTAAAAATGTTATGCTTTCATTTTAAGGCTTATCTTAAACACATCAGCAGCATATGGGTCATCTGGTGGGCAGCTTGGGAGCTGGGCATGACCATGTAATCCTCATCTCCACACGTGGGGTCAGTGCCATTAACATTCGACCCACTGTCTCCCGAACTGGGGTCACTGGATCTATTCTACCACTTTGAGGGGTTCTCAAAACAGAGAGACACCAGACACTTAGGCTCTCGCTGTGTCAGTCTTATCTCTTGGAACTGCTTTCACTGAACTGCATTTCCGCATTTTGATGTGGCTTTCTATTGAAAAGAACAGCCACAGGAAACTCCTTTTTGCATTTGTGGTGTTAAGGCAACTGAGGATATGATTTACTCATCACCTAGTGCTACCTTTCTAATTTCCATGTGATAAATCACTCTTTCCTGCAGGCCTTTTGCCTCTGAAAATAAGTACTGTCTATGTGATCCTTTTCCTTTTTCACTAGATGGTCAGGAAGCTGGGGCCTAATCTGATGTTTAACTCTGAAAATACATAGACTCCTACGGCCAATCTGCTATGGGTGCCTTCTGTTTAAATTTTAGTTACACCTCTATAGCTATGATTCCTTTTTAAATTAACATTTCATCACTGTTATTGAATCTGTGTTTGCTCTGTGACTATCTACAAACCACCACCATATACACACATACACACACACAGACACACATAGTCATGTGTCACTTAAAAACTGGGAGATATTCTGAGACATTTATCAGTAGGTGGTACCACTGTGCAAACATCACAGACTGTGCTCAAACTAAGACAGCTGTGATGTAATTGTTGGAATAATCTTATAGGGTCATCACTGTATGTGGCGCTCACCATTGACCTTGATGTTGAGCTGCATCTGCCTCTCTAGATCCATGCCTATGTTTTCCTAAGTGAGTATAATGAGTCCTTTATATATAAAATCTAACGGTGACCTTAAGGGCACTGTGCAGTAAGTACATTTTTATATATAATGATCCTCAAACAGTTCATAGAAAATACATTTTATGAAGAAAATCTATGCATGGATTTCCAAGGTTTTTTTTTTTTTTTGCATGAAAATAGACATCTCTTAATTCCATTTTCAATGAATATTTTGAATTCTCCTAACTTACACAGAGTCATGTATAACAAGTGTATGTGTATGTGTATGTCAAAAGAAGTAAAATACAGAGTTTCCTTAAAAATATGAAAGTACTTCACAAAGTTCACAGAAAATGGAATTAAAAGGTAAGCACATTTTAGTGCAAAAAATTTCAGAATCCATGCATTCAAGATTTCAAAAATCTCATGAAAAATGTGTATTACGAAAACACTATGCATGGATTTCAAAAAGTTTTGACACCAAAATAAACATCATTTAATTCTATTTTCCATGAACTTTTTTGATGTGCCCTTGTATTATGAATCTTATATTCCCTGGATTATGAATCTTCATAGTATTATAGTTTCTAGTCTCCTCTACAACTGAAAGATTATAACAGTAAGAGATTCTAGAGCAAGACAAGAAACAAAGCAAAGATCACCCAACAAGTTTATGGTGGCAAGAAAGAAGCAACCATCAGAAAACCAGTGACTGTTTTGTCATCAACATTTCTCATGGGAGATGGTGACTCCTAGTCTCAAAGTCCTATGACAATCCTACAAAAAGTGACTATAAATGAGGACTGGCCATAAAACCTGATTCCAGGTTGGCTGGGATAGGGATGTAGCTAGTAGCTATCCTAGACACATCAGGCTGGAAAAAGGTGTAAAGTTAATGACCTGATAAGAAAAGTACGACACTTGTGGTTTTAGAATCAAGAAGCAAAGAGAAAAGGAAGGCATCCTTACTCACCCAGAGGAAACCACAGCAAATTTCATTACCAGAGATTCTACATCCACATGGACAAGTGACTTCAGGCCGAAGTGCAGGAGGACAGTAAAGATGGAGGATTCCCACTAAGTAACTTCTCTGGGCAGGAATTTGTCACCTCCACAGGGAACTAAGACACTATGAATCAGCTCAGTCCCTCAAGAAAACCAGGATGCTCTCTGTAAGGCAGGTAACCCGCTGGTACCCACAGACACAAAGATATATGGTAAGACTCCTGTCCAGTTGACTTTCTACAAGGAGAGACAGATGGGACTGTTTCCAGAGTGATGACCACTGGAAAGGAAGCACATCTGAGATGCCTGGAGCCCATGGTAAGAAGTGACTTTTTTTTTTTTGTCTAAATGGCACCAAGTATTCAGAGAATACCAAGTATAATAAATTGTAGCAGTGTCAGAGAGGAAAAAGTCTGGTTGGCCATTTGCTAGTGTTTAAGAGGCATTTACTACTGGCTAGATAGTAATGGGGAGGGGAGAAGCAGCTGAGAAGAGATTTACGCACAAGGAACTGTTTCTATACCCTCCCAGTATCCTTGTATTTGTAAGGTCTGTAAGCTAGGAAGGTCAGTCTCACGGTCTCCAACCCCCACTCCTGATACTTACGGCAATGTGTCTGGATGTGAACAGAAGGTGGGGACACAGAATAAGAAAGACTAATTGTACTTGTGGTATAACTACAAGTGCTTTGCATATAATACCTTAATTATTATTATTCACTCCATTTTTAGATGTGTAAATGGAAGCCCAGGGATACAAAATTCCTCAAAGTTATATAGCCAGTAAGTTGCAGATTTGATTTTAAACTGAGGTCACTGAATTCTAGTTTGTGTTTCCTCTTAACCACAAAGCCACACTATAAGAGTTTCTTCTAAACAAAGCAACATACCACAATGTGTGTCCAAAAATCACAGAACTCAGTCAAACAGGACTCAACTTAAACATAATCATTCTTTCAGGGGAGGAAGCCCTGGGAGGCAGGTTTGTGAAGTTTGAGTTATTATAGATAGTTAGTATGGCTGTTCTTCTAAGTGTAATTTTGTTGTATTTGTCCAAATCCATCTCCTTTTTTTACTGAGTGTACAGGTTACGATCAAATAACATTGTGTGCAACTACTGACATTCAACTTGTTTGAGTTTCATTCTTTATTCACGTTTTTTATTTCCTGAAAATTCTGGTAGAGAAGAATATTTTGGGTTTTACTCCTTTCTAGTGTCTCAGTGAACACCACGTCACCAAACACCAAACCCTCTTGTGAATGGGAAAGGAAAAGGCACATTCTCTTAGAGGAAATCTTGTGACCAAAGACCCCTTTTTGCTGGGCCACGAGGATCAAGCTTAAAGCAGGCCAATAGCGGTCACAGACATTCTGAGTAGAAAAACGCTAAACCAGACAAACAAGGTCTTTTCTGTTTTAAATGGTGGTAGCTCCCACATGGTTTTAGTTGGATTACCTCCTGACAGTGATGGGCTGGGTCACAGAGTGACCCAGGAGGATTATAACTGGCTCCATATCCTTTTCCTGAAAGCTCCAAGCTCCTGAGATTCTGAAACCCAGGAGAGTATGACTGCTACATGCAATCTGCTATTACATTTGCAAAACTCTCTTTCTGATAGATGGAGCAGCGTTCCCATGCTAACTTCCTTGACTGCACGGCAGGATCTCAAACGACTTCCAGCAAGTCTCTGAGCTTATTCCCTGCTTCGTAAAAGGCAGAACCTGCTATTGTGAGCCCTCCCTCCACCTCCTCCTACACAAATGTACACTGGCTGAGAACAAGAGAAACCCCACGTACCATTAACACATTCAAAGACATCACAGCACTTTCCAGGTGTCCCATCTCCACGAGAGACTATGCGGGGAGTGGATCCCACCTCACACACGGGGAAACCACATAAGCCAGAGAGACACTCGCATCTGAAACCAAAGAAAAGGGAAGGAAAACCCCATGAATAAACAACAACATAGAAGTTGGGAGACCACAAACAAAGCGGCAGTGGCTGTGGCAGAGCTCACGGTCCACAGGCCCCTGCCTCGTGTGTCTGGTGGGATGGACAGCGGGTCCCTAACATACGTTGCTCTTGAAATAACTGAGGTTCACATTCTTTAGATGCATCCCACTTTTTTAATGTGAATCATTGTAACAGAAATATTTCTAAAATGCATTACCTCCTTTCTCGGTTAACCAGACTGGCACTGTGCACAGCCAGCATTTTCAGTCCATCTCTACATGCATGGTACGGACGTGTGGGAGTCACGAGGCTCACCGGGGCTAACACGGCAAGTGCTCCTGTGCTAAGCAGCCCAGTGTTCTTGCTTTGTGGCTACTGATGTGTGGTGTTTCCCAGGGATGTTCTGATTCTTCTTTTAAGGTTTAAATTATTAGCTTTTCAATCTTATTGGTGGGGTTTTCTCTGGGAGCACCTTCATCTTGGGCAACAATTAATTAATAATTGTGTCCACGGGAAAAAGAAGACTGAGAAACTCTATAAATAGGGGACATGATATGGTAACTGGACTTCCTGCCGGCTATCCTGGAAACTCAAAGCCTTAGTTTATTGGACCTTGTAAGCTGTAATATGTGCCTTAAACTCTACCTGCATGAATGAAGTGGCCAACGAACTGCCGGCCGGCTGTACTGGCTCTTGCTCTAGCACAGAAACCTGGTGAATATGGGAAGGTAAAATAAGAGACCAAATTTCTGTATCTACTAAAATGAAATAGGCAGGAAATGAGAAGCTCGGGGCAGTGGAGTGTCAGCATAAAAATGTAATACAAGGAAGCAGCAGCTAGCGTCCATCCTGAGACTCCCCTGGGGATAGAAGTATGGGTCAGAGAGCACAGAGGATGGTGAGGGGGGAATTCTCAGGTTGACAGGAGTACAAGGAAGACATCCTAAAAAGAGACATCCTGGCAGGAAGTGTGTGGGTATTTATGTACAGTAGGGGTCAAGATCAGGGGAGGCAACATTCCCAGCAGGGAAGAGCTATTAACATATTCATTAACTCTGGTTTTGTGCTCCTCCTCACTTCGGTGTTGGCTTGTTTGCCTATTGTTTCTTTGGACCTTTGATAACTTAAGCTTGTAGACCAGATGCCTCAATAATCAGAGTTAAGTGTGGAAGTAGGAAGGAAATGAATTTAGGTTAAAATTTGCATGATTGACCACGAAAGCAGCAGGAATGGTATGAATGATTCCCTACCCCTACAGGTCTTTTCAGGGTTCTTCTATGTCAAGGGTGCGGGTGTAATTTTTTTTTTTTTTAGATTTTTGGGAGAAAAGGGTATTAGGTAACTAAAGTTTTCCTCAATAGTATTTCTGTCTATGGTTTAAAATAAATGTCTGCCTGTTTTATGCAAGTTGAGCTGGAAGCTTTCAATGAATGCTCTGTTTCCTGCAGGACAGTCACCTTCAAGGTCTGGGTAAATGTGAGCTGGGCTTTCTGTGCACAGTAAGTTACCCCTTTAAGGCACATGTGTGTAGCCACTGCAGTCTGCGACATATCATCATACTGCTGTGATGGGACAGGAACATCATACTGTTGACATTTATTGCACTTGACACACTGTACCACCTAAACTCTTGAGAGAATATAGATGAATAAGGCTACGGTATTGGGAGCCACACCCTGATCCCAGGCTCTGGGTGTGATTACAATGAAAGGATCCCCCAAGAACAGATGACCTTTTTGCGTACATCTTCTAGGGTTCACATTCTGGCCTCGTGATGCGTTTCAGGGAATTGCTCTAATTTGAACACCAAAGAACATACCATCAACCAAAAAATACTTCTTCGGGTGTTGTCCTTCAACACTTCAGCAACCTTCACTGAACATGTGTGTGCATGGAGGTGCTCAGCTTTCTGCTAGGCTGTTAAAAATCATACTACACTGAAGGCTATGAATAAGTCAAAGACACCTTCTTTTTCCCTCCTATGTTTGACCTATTTCCCAACATCTACATATATCTAAACATCTACATGTATCTATTGCTTAAGAGGCTATAGAGGTTGTGCTCAGCACCTTGCACATTTAAAACTGTACACTACTGTCTGCTAACCCACTTAGGAAAGGAAAACTCTTTATGCAGAATTTTTACATCTAAACACAGCATGACTGCATAGTAGAGACCCAAGGATCCAGGCACCCTGAGTTCTGCTGGCTGGTACTCCTGGATCCATACCCTTATCTACTTCTCTCTCAAAAGTCCTCTGTGCCTGTTGCTATCTTGATTTCTTACAGCTTCCTCTGAAGCTGAAATTAGCACCTTCCTGAAGGAAGAATGAAGGAACCACAAAAGGTGAAAATCTGGGCTCAAGCCAGGTATCTGTCAGGCAGCTCTCTACCAGGTTGAGGCTTCATGAAACTGCCACAGGTCAGAAACAGACACACAGCGATCCCATAGAGTTCAACTTAATACAGCTCAAATGCAGGTGTCTTCTGACAGATATGTCTACCTTCATTCTGCCAGGTAACAAAAGGAGACTCTGACAAGACCCAGGAAATCTACTATTATCTACAAACTCCGTGAGTCCAATGTAGTTACACAAAAATTCTTTCACAAGATTATTCTAGATTCTCTGGATTTTTTCCCTTTTACAAGTGGCAGTAGTGAGGCATACAGATTCATCAACTGACCTGAAATTAAATGGAGTTTCCTGTTTGCTGTGTTTTCTACTAGGAGAGATTAGATTCTCTTCGACTGAGTCATGAAGAGGAAATGCTGAGTTACAGGGCAACTGAAGCATGCAAACTGTGCCTTGTCCTCACCACCTTTCTCTGCATTTTTATTCACCCTCACAATCTTTTACCCCAGTCCCCAGATGAGGAGCAAGCAAGGGAAGGGAGAAAATGTGGGTTAGGAGCACAGAAGATAGAGGACCGGGAGAGAGATGCTCCAGCAAGTTGGTGTCACCACTTACCCCGCGCTTCTGAGCCCCCCTCCCCAATTTCCAGCTCGGATCTGGTCCCCTTTTACCTAACCCATGCCACAGTCATCAGAAAGCTCAGGTCCTTGACTCCCTCCCACAGTCAAAGCTCTTCAATGACTCATTTCTCAATGTCTCCACCAGGCATGAACACCCTGAAGCCCACCAATCCTTTTCCCAGGCCTCTCTCCCAAGGTTCCCCTTCATTTCCTGATGCTGCAGCCACACTGGATTCTGCAGGCCAGCCCTCACTGCTGTGTCTGCACTGCTTGCCCTACTGGCTCCAGAACACTCCCATCCAGCCCTCTGGTCCGCTGTCTTCCCAGATAATCACTCCTCAGAGATCACACCTCTTCCTCTGAGCCCCTGAACACCATGCTTCCTGTCTCCTGTGACTCTACGCTGTGGGAAGCACTCATACCACAGCTCTTTCTGTACATGCACCATCATTGTATTTTTAAAATGGAACAAGAATAGGAGATGAAGAAAAGAAGACTAAAATTAACAAAAGCACAAAAGAAAGAGAGAAGTAGAATGCTCAGATTTATATACAGTGAACTCCAAAAGGCACTCTGAGAAGAAGTGCTAAGAGGTTTAAAAAACAAAACAGCTTAAGAAAAAAAAAAAAAAAACCAAACAGCTTTATTGAGATATATGCCGCATGCCCTAACATTCAACCTGTTAAACTGTACAATTGAGTGGTTTTTTTTTTTTTTTTTTTTTTTTTTTACAGAGTTGTGCAACAGTTACTGGTACCTCATCATCTCAAAATGAAACACTGCAACCCCCTCCCCCAGCTCCTGGCAACCACTAATTTAGGTTCTGTCTCAATGGACTTGCCCATTCTGGATAATTCATATAAATGGGATCATATAATATGTAAGCTAAGGGCTTTTTAACTTCAAACAAGAAGCAACCTGTATTTGCAATTTGCCAGAAAAAATGCAAGCCTCTAATGTTATCCTCAGTATTAAGATAATGATCAATCAAAGCACCCCATTAATAAATTTTTGCATAATGTAATCACAGCTGCAGCCAGGTGGGACTTAGTTAAGCTTTTTATTGTCGTCCCCCCCCCCCCCCCCTTGAGAAGGTAATGGATTAGGCTTAGTGGGCATCTGAGTGCAAGGCTGAACAGCTCTCAGAAATCTTCTAAACCCCTAGAGGGCACTCACCTTCTTGGGAACCCAGGCTGACTGGTTCAGCTAGCTGAAGGGCAGGGAATGCTTACTTTTTTCCTTCAGGTCCTTTGCTTCTTGGACTATACAGACAAGGCAGGCCATAAGGTCAAAGTCCTAGCTCCTGTGCACAGCTTACAAAGTGCTCATAAACCTGGCCTCTCCCTGTCTTACAGTTCCCATGTGCCACAGCCCGCAAGTTAGCAACAGCAGGGATCTGTCATTTACTGAATCCCCAACCCCGGCTCTATCACTCTTGTGCCCACCCAGCTTCAAATCTCCTTTGTCCCTAGCAAATTCCCCACAGCTCTTAAGGCCACTCACCCTATAAGGCCTTAACCAGGATTAATGTTCTCTCCTCTCACCTCCAAAACCAGACAAGGGGACATAACTCCTGAAGTATACCTGCTAATAATACAAAATCAATACCATACTGTTTCTCCAGTGAATTCCTCTAGGATAGGAGCATGTCTTATAATGAATGAAATGATTGATAAACTCAACTGAACAATAATATGGAAAAACACTTTTCCTCACAACTAATAAGTCAGAGGTTACAGCATGCATTGGTTTTACATATTTATAAATTTTAGATTGAGAGATCATAGGTGCAGTGTTTTTCAATATTAGTATGTGGAAGGAAAGCCTATAGAAATTGTTGAAAATGCAGATTCTGGGTACCATGCCGCGGAGTGTTTTTTTTGCAAGTCTGGGTGGACTGCAGGATCAGCCTGTGTAATCAGCTTTCTGGAAGATTTCACTGAGAGCAATCTGGGACCCACTTTGAGAACTTCCTACCTATGTCCAGGACCT